CTGGTGCTTGGTTGTGGATCTCTGCATCTGCTTCCATACATACAAGTAAAATTATACAGGTCATGGATTTGAAAAAGAGCAAGGAGATATATATGGGAGGGTTAGAGAATTGAAAGCACACTATGTCAAAATACATTATAAAACAATAAGCTCTTAGATCATTAAGTAAATGCCTTACCATAAAATATAACAAATGAAAAATAAGATTTAAAAGCCTGAGTAAATATTACCTATGTTGAAACCATAAAAAAAGAAAATTATAGCATATATAAACATGGCCTTCTTGAATCTTCACAAATATAATAATGAAATTCAATAAGGCAAAAACTATAATATTAATTCTTATTCTGTAACTGTAGCAAAGGTGAATTCTCTAACATATCAAACAGCTATTGATAAGATTGTAATGTGATTGATTTCTTGGAACTTATTGTGGAACAACTAGTAGTTTTCAAAACCATGTAAACATTTTGAAATTGGGAATGATGATGTTTGCATTTTTAACTGGATAATGATATAATTATTTAAAGACACAAGTTAAATTAAATTTTTAAGGGAAATCTTAGAAAAATACTTTCAAATACATTTTAAGCATCACATCTGAATGCTGTACTGTATTAAACCACTAAAAAAATAGCTACATAAGGCCTGAAGAAGTTCCAGCCCATCAATAATCCAAGGAGAGGGAAGGAGTTCACAATGCCTAGGCCCACACTGCAAATCTAAAGACAGTTGTTGCTTGGGAACATTGTCTTGTAACACAAATCTTAAAAGGTCTTAATAAAAACACTCAGGAGCCAGGTTTTGGGGTGAATTCCAAAAGGTCAGAGAAGCAGAACAAGCCACAGCTAACCTCACCTCACCAACTTCTCAGCCAATCCTGTTTCCTCAAACTGGAAGCCTCTGAATCCTCACCTGAATGAATCTCAGCTGAACTGCTGCTAAAAGCCTTAAAACTTAAAAGCCTCTAGTTCCTGGTCCTCACGCCTTATATACCTTTCTGCTTCCTGCCATCACTTCCTGGGATTAAAGGTGTGTGTCTTTCCCAAGCAAGACATGAGATCTCAAGTGCTGGGAATAAAGGTTTGTGAACATGCATGACCGTTTCCAGTGTGGCCTTGAACTCACAGAGATCCAGATGGATCTTTGCCTCTGGAATACTAGGAATAAAGTTGTGTGCTACCACTGCCTAAGTTCTACTTTTAATATAGTGGCTGTTCTGTTCTCTGACCCCCCCAGATAAGTTTATTGGGGTGCACAACATTGTCAACCACATTGTCTCATGAATTCCACCATTCCCTGAGGTAGTTAATGGTTGTTATGGAGGAGCGGCTTATGAGGCTTCACCCTGTCTGAGGATTTCTAGATCATTAGGGTTTCTAAGGTATGGCCCATGAGCTTCTACTCCTTTCCCCCATACTCCATAGATTGTAAGTAAATGCTTACTGAGAGAGAGACATTTCTCTCAGTGATATACCACTGGTAATTTTTCCGTAGTCCTACAAATACTCTCTCTCTCTCTCTCTCTCTCTCTCTCTCTCTCTCTCTCTCTCTCTCTCTCTCTCTCTCTCTCTCTCTCCAAAGGTCTCAGAGCAATCACAATGAAACTCATTGGGTCTGCAGCAACAGCAAAAACATGAAGGATAAAGAGGATATTTTGGAAAAGGAAGGAGATCTGTGAGGGCAGGAGAGAGACAAGAGAGAGGGATAGGTAATAGATATTTTCAAATGTACATTGTATATGTACATGAAAAGAGGGATAATATTGCAAATTAATAACTATAAATGCTGATAAAATTTTCCAAAGGTCATTATTTTCCATCTTGTGGGAATCTTTTGTTGAAATTATGGTCACATTAGGTATATAAAGAAATCTACTCATTGATCTGCTCTGAATTATTAGCAAAAGACATGAAAGACATTAGATAGATTCATTTTATTGCAAGTAGAATCTCAAAAGCCTTATTTTTTGAAGATAGATATGTCTATAACCTGGATCAACATTATTGAAGAACTCTGTGTCAACAAGTCTATTAATAATACCCAGGACTATGTATGAGGTGTGAAACTTTAAAGAAGTACAGTAGATGCACATGTAGTGAAAACCATATATAGAAATTACATCATAAAACATTTTCAAAAGTCAAAACATTCTGTGTAAACTGCTCAGAGACCAAAAAGTAACTCTGGGAACAATTCCAAGAATCACGGTATTTCTGCAGTTTCTTTTCTTGGCTGCTTATACCTTTGAATCTCTCTTTAGTCTCATTTCTCCAAACTTTCTAGGAGTCTTTCTGCTTCAATTCCCCTAACTTGGCTATTGTTGAACTAATATACCTACGTCTTGCTCAGCTGTAAGACAGCTGGCTGCCCCTCAGTCAGTCCACACTAATTGCTGCCATTTTTACTCTTCTGCCTCAACTGTTGTTCTGGATTCTCTTTATCATCGACACAATCCACACTACTGAACGTAAGCAAATTTAACTCTTCAAGAGGCACATTTTGAATGGTCTAATACTGCAGTACTAAAGAGGTAATATAAGTGAGTATTCCCTAGCTGACTCATGAAGTAAATCTGATCAAGCTACTTATATATTCCCCCAAAGGGATATTTGTACCAGTCACCTCTTTAGCACAGTTTATAGCAGTTAACATGAGAGGCCAAAAGGTCTAGGTGAAAATAATTTCAGAGTTATCTAGAATTCATGGAATTTGTGATAGCTGAAAGTCTGATACAACGTGTTTCAAAGAGTCTTGGCTCAGAAATCAGGTCAATCAAAAGTGATCATTATGTGGCTTTCTCAAATCATCTGTGACACTTTCAAGATGGCTGGTGCATTTACATACATATACAAATACACATTGTATCAGTGTTTGTATGGAAGAGAATTTCATTTTTCCATTATTTCAGAAATCAAATACATAGCTTTATGTATGCTGAGCACATCCTGAACTAAATATATTGACCCTGATCTCTTAATTAGAAGGTTTAACTATAATTCTTCCATTAATTATGGTTAAATACATGTTACTTTATCCTTTTATAAAAAATATGTTTAAATGTATCATTTACTATTTCTTTTTAAAACTATTTACCTTTGAATGTGGTGGAATTTTCAGATTCAGCTATTGATTATATATTTTTCTGGTAATAAGCCCTGAGTTGTCAGATTTTTAGTTTATTGCTTGATACTTGAATTTGTATATGTGTGGTATATGTATGCAGAACTTTTGGTGTTTTTTCTATTTAACTGTTACAGACAAGTGGATCTAGGACAGTACAAAAATAATCTCTCCTTTGCCATCTGTTGCAAGCACAGGCAGCTTTGGAAAATTTTGTTCCTTTCTGTGAAACTAATGTGTTTGCTTAAAAAGCCAATCATCAATTGATGAGCTATGTTATGTTCATTCTGCAAAAAATAGATTTGGGCTTTTGAAGCTATCTGTGCCCTTTAACCTTAGAGATGCTTACTGTAGCTATTTCTGACATTAGCGGCCATAAGAATGTTTTTTAATCTGCTTCTCCTGGACTTCATTTTGAACTCTCCTGCTCTAGCAGTGTTTTAGACCTTTTGTATTACATTCCCCTACATTTCTTTGTTATTTCTTAGTGAGTTTTAAGAAAAGTAGGAATTTTTCATAATATTAGCATGTTTAAATGAACATCCAATCCTGATGTGTTATCTTCTCCCAAATTCCTCGGTATTTAAGTATTTTTTTTAGAATATATTCCTCTGTATGGTACTACTCCATGTTGCCTCTCCAGGTAACCCCACTGTTGTCCCCATTTCCTTCTTCATTTCTCTGTTATCCTCCACCTACACAACTCCTATTGCCTCTACCTACTAAGTCCTGCAATTAGAGTTGTTCACTACTATGTGTAGTTTATGGGGTGCTGGGAATCAATCCCAGAACTTCATGCTAAGTAGGTACTCCACTATGGTAGTTTCAATGTAATTGGCCCCAATAATCTCATAGGGGGTGGCACTATTACAAGGTGTGGCTTTGTTGGAGGGGGTATGGCCTTGTTAGAGGAAGTGTGTCACTGTGGGGGTAGGGTATGAGATTTCTTATACTCAGAATAACACCCAATGTCAACTTCCTATTGCCTGCCAGCTATAGGGCGCTCAGCTACTCCTCCAGCACCAAGTCTGCATGCCTATCCATTATGTCCCCAACTATGATGATAATGGACTGAACCTTTGGAACTGAAAGCCAGGCCCTCAATTAAATGTTTTCCTTATAAGAGTTGTGATGGTCATGGTGTCTCTTCACAATAATAGAAACTTCACTAAGACGTTCACTAAGATTCCTCTTCAACCCTAATGAATAATTTAAGTAACTATTTGTCCATACTATAATTTCCAGTCACTAAATTTTTCTTTATAAACCTCAGCAAATTTTTTCTAGTATTCCTTAAGCACTATGTATTATTTAATGAACCCCATTCCAACCATCTTTTTTCATTTTTTTACTAGAGTTTTTTCTTAAGAAACTCCACTTCGCTGATGCTTACATATAGGCAAACACTTTTATACATAAGAAGGTAAACATAAAATAAAACTTTTTAATAGGGTACTATCTTGAGAGATTAGCTCAGCAGTTAGGAGTACTTAGTGCTTATCCAGGTTTGCTTTCTAACACCCACATCTGTGGATTACAGCTGCTATAATTTCAGTTCAAAGGACCTTATGCCCTCTTCTTGCTACCGCAGGCACCAGGCATATGCACAATGCACATACATACATGTAGACAAATACACTCATAAAAAATGAAAATAAATATGAAGAATCCTTTCTTTTGTTGTCTTAAAAACATCCATGTTAAGCATTGTTATGTTCCCTCCTGTTCTGAATAATCAAACTTGATATATAATATTTATATGTATTACATTGTCCACCAAAAAAGGTTGAAGAAAACATGGATTTTTTCAACTGATATTTTTAGAAAATTTACCTTTCATTTCTGGACAATTAAATAATATAAAAAACATTCGGAATATGAGTGCAAGGTAGTCCCCAAAGCAGTTGCAGGCCGTGGCAGGCCGTGGCCTCAACCCTCCCTTAGTCTTCCTGCCATGGAAGTCTCCAGTTTAGGTAAATAAAGGCTCGTGTGAAAAAAAAGAACTACCAATTCCAGCATGCATTGCGGAACGAAAGGCCTTCTCCACAGCCTCTCTTGGAAACTGTAGTCTTAAGGAAAAGGAGCCTCCAGCACTGGAAGCAGGCACGATTACCACAGCAACCCAGTTAACACAGTGGAGCCCTTCTCGCGGGTACACGGGCGAGCTGCTATGCGTCGCAGCGTTCTGTTTTCATGTCTTGCTCCCAGAGATTAGACTAAAAGAAGCTGCAAGTCCCAGGAAGACTACAATTCCCATCCGGCCCCGCGACTCTCGGGTGACTCGTCCTGCAAGGCTGGCCTAGAACTCTTGGATTCCAACTATATCATCTTGCTTCAACTTGCTGAGTAACTGGGACTACAGCCCCACCCCACAGCATGGAACCACAGGTTACTCTAAATGTGACTTTTAAAAATGAAACTCAAAGCTTTCTGGTTTCGGATCCAGCAAATACAACTTGGGCTGATGTTGAAGCTATGGTAAAAGTTTCATTTGATCTGAATAATATTCAAATAAAATACCTGGATGAGGAAAATGAGGAGGTATCCATCAATAGTCAAGGAGAATATGAAGAAGCACTTAAGATGGCTATCCTTAAGCAAGGAAACCTACTACAGATGCAAGTCCATGAAGGGCACCATGTTGTAGACGAAGCATTCCCTCAAATTGTAGTAGAAAAGCAAGCGCCTGCCAGGAAAGGGAAGAAGCCGCTTGCACATTATTCTTCAGTGGTGAGAGTCTTGGGATCAGATGTGAAGACCGCAGAGGAGCCTGTGGCGCAGCCATGTCCACGTGCTCCTTGTGACACGGACCAGCCTCATGACAAGCCCCCAGACTGGTTCACAAGCTACCTGGAAACGTTCAGAGAACAAGTGGTTAAGGAAACTGTTGAGAAGCTTGAACAGAGGTTGCGGGAGAAGCTATTCCTCCAGAAGTCGGCCTCGGAAGTCTTGATGCCTGTTTCAAAGGACCAGTTCAGCTGGCATCTTGCTTGCAATCACTGCTACAGAAGGATCATAGGTGTGCTGAAGGCCAACCTGGGATCGAGGCTGGGCAGGAACCAGCTGAGGCCGGAGAGAGACTCCCTGAAGGGGAGAGCCAGCCACAGGAGCAGAGCATCAGTGACATCCTCACGACCTCACAGAGGCTGGACACAGTGCCCCTCGTCCCCGAGGTGGTAGGACTTCCACCACCACTGTCCAGGAGCTCCCCTTGCGTACAGCACGGGTCCCCAGAAGTGGATTCACCAGTTACCATCCAAGAAGTTCCTTCAGTCCCTGACCAGGTCAGAGGAGAGCCCAGAGGCTCATCAGGACTTGTCAACAGCAGACAGAAGAGCTGTGACCACTCAAGCCCATCGTTTCTGAAGATGAGACAGCAGCCTTGATGGCCCATCTCTTTGAAATGGGATTCTGTGACAGGCAGCTGAACCTAAGGCTGCTGAGAAAACACAATTACAACATCCTGCAGGTTGTGACAGAGCTCCTTCACATCAACAACAATGACTGGTACAGCCACCGCTATTGAGGACCCATCTTGTATTAAATAACTGCCTGCTGCTCAGAGATGACCTTAGTCTGTCATTGAGGTGTGGCTGCAAGCCCTTGCTTGTTTTTAATCTGATGAATCTATATCGAGTGTCACTGAATTGTCAAAACAGTACCTGTTACAGTATTTTTTGGAGCAAATCAAAGACCAGAACTTAAATTTTCATTTTAGAAATGGGATAAGTAGTAGAAAGACAGTTTTCAGCTGATCTGGACAGAGCTTTCGCTGTAGTATGTGGAAGTGTGTTACTTGGACCTCTGTAGACCGCTTTCCTTTTGCTTGTACTGAAGTTGAGTATTTTCCTTTGTTACATGTGGATGTTTTTGATGGGCTGTTAAATGTTAGTTTGGTTTTTGTTTTTTAAAGATTAACCTTGAATGTTTTCAAGAATTATTCTCCTAATCTGTAACCAACTCCAAGCTTCCTAGCTATGTGACATTAAAGGACAGCAGATCAAGAAAGTCATTTCCCTGTAAGACTTAGTTAAATAAGTAACCTTGTGCTTTCAAAAGACCCCAGTGGTGCAGTTGAGTGTTCACCTGGCAGGACGGAAGGGCATGCTAGTTAACCCACCAGCACCCATTGAGCAGTGATTGTTGAAGTTATTTTGCATAAAGTTTTATTTAAGGAAAAATCCTAGGTAGTGTGAAATATTTCACTAATCGCATG